GCGAAGCCAGGAAACGCTGGTCTGAGTGGCACGGTAAGGGGGCTGGGAGGTTGGAGAAGGGGTAAGAGATTCCGGGGGCAGTCAAGGGACAGAGAGCAGGGGGGTTGGATGGGGCGGAGGTTCAGGGGGGCAGGGAGAAGGGGGGTAGATGGGTCAGTGGTTCGGGGGGGCACTCAGGGGACAGGCAGCAGTTGGATAGGCATGGGAGTCCCAGGGGTTTGTCAGGGGACAGGTGGGGGTGGAGTCCTAGGGGGGGACGTTGGGGGGGTGTCTCAGGAGCGGGCAGTTGGGGACAAGGAGAAGGGAGGCTTAGATAGGGGGTGGGGTTCTGGGGGGCAGTTGAGGCAGGGGTCCCAGGAGGGGGTGATCAGGGGACAGGGAGCAGGGGGGTTGGATGGTTGGGGTTTCTGTGGGGGGCAGTCGGAGGGAGTGGATGGTGGCAAGGTGGGGCTACCCTCCCTCCCCGTGGAGTGTCCTGTTTTTTAATGTTAAAATATGGTATCCCTACCCTTCCCAGTGCAGCTCTCCATTCATAGCAGGGCTGTAGCATGAAGTCTCAGCTTCCTCACTCCCTCCCTCTCTTTCCTGTTGGTAGTGGCCAAGGGAATTCTGGGAAATGTAGTTCTTTCCCTGCTCCAGGGCTGGCTCTATAGGCAGGGAGCTAACCAAGGAACTACAGCTCCCAGGGCCCCCTGTTGGTTCTTAGCTCCCATGCTGGATCCCAGCTACCCCTGCAAATGGGCTGCCCCAAGCACGTGCTTGCTTTGCTGATGCCTAGAGCGATAGGGAGGAAGGGTACGAAAGGTTGAACCAATAGCACACCTAAGTGGAATATACGTCTGCATCTACTTGAAGAAGAATTTAGGGTCTAATCTGGCCTGCAGAGTGTGCTCACTTGTGAGAAGGTCACCACACATTGAGTTGGCAGGCCTGGAAGTTCAAGATCATTTTCCTAGTGATCTGAGCACATTGAATATGGAAATTACTGAGACCAGGTAAACATAGAAGCCCTTGATGGCATTTTAGACTACAATCACCCAGCTGCCTTTTTTAGTTGGTAACACTGCCACAGTATTTGCACTATTCCTTATAGAAAGCATGACATGACGGGCTACAGCAGCGATCTCTCTCTACTCCCACTTAAATGCAGAAAGGAGTTTCCTAAGTGTTTTAGTGAAGAAACGCAGATGACAGTGTTTTGCTGGCACCCAGCCCCAGGTCTGTAGCAGATGCAATCCCAACAGTAGTACAGCAACCCAGTGTTTGCAGGAGAACCAAGTTGTGGTAATGTTAAGGGAAAACCCTGAAAGGACTGGTGAGAATTGTATCAGGACCAGTGACTGAGGGAGCAGAGCTGCTCCGAGTGATACAGGTTGACAATTCAGGGTACTTATGGGGCAGATTTGCCATTGCTGCTCAAGGTTTGCACAGTGGTAAATGTGCTTTTTCCCCCCCATCTATGCCTGTTAAAGTGAGTCAGCTCTTTCCTTTCACATGCAGACTTTGCAACACTTATTCACTCCTTTGTCACTTATCAACATGGCACCTCCGCACCTCACAGTCTTTGATGAAGGTAGCTGCACAACTCCCGTGAGGGAGGGCAGTGCAATTCCCACCATTTCACAGAGCAGGAACTGCAGCCCAGAGAGGCTAAGTGACTAGCCCAAAGGCACACAGGGAATGCGTGACACAGCAGGGAAGTGAACCTGGGTCTCCCCAGGCCATGGCTAGCATCCTAACCACCAGACCATCCAGCCTCTTTAAGATTGCAAGACTAGACTACTCTAATATTCTCTGTATGGGGACTATCGTGTGTGACTGCTTGGAAGATGAAGCTTGTGCAGAAATACAACAGCCTGCTTGTTAGGGGGTGCCTTTACCAATGTGCTTTGTAAGCTGCACTGTCTGCCTAGCAGGTTCCAAGTACAGATCAAAATGTCCATTTGGATCTTCAAAGCACTCTCAGGGATAGGCGCCGACTCCGTGGGTGCTCCGGGGCCGGAGCACCCATCGGGAAAAATCAATGGGTGCACAGCAGCTCCCCACCCCCCCCAGCTCACCTCTGCCTCCTCCCCTGAGCGCACTGCGTGCCCGCTTTTCCCCCCTAGCTCCCAGCGCTTCCCGCTGCGAAACAGCTGTTTCACAAGGCTGGGAGGGAGGGGGAAGGAGGGGGAACGTGGCGTGCTTGGGGAAGAGGTGGGGCCAGGGCGGGGATTTGGGGAAGGGGTCCAATAGTGGCAGGGAGGTTGCGGAGTTGGGGTGGGGACTTGGGAAAGGGATGGGGTGGAGAAAGGGTGGAGTTGGGCAGGGGGGCAAGTACCCACCGGCGCCAGGGAAAGTTGGCGCCTATGCTCTCAGGTTTGGAGCCTGGAAGACCACCTCTCCCTGTGCCAAACTGCTGGTTGTAAGCAGTGGAGCTCCAGGGGCAGGGGCAGCTTGTTCTTTAGGAATACACTGGCCTCTGGAATTCCCTTCCCCCTGCTCCACCAGAGCCTGGATTTTTGGCCTTCTGCATATACTGTAAGAGCTGTATTTTCCCCTAGCATTTGGAGAGAAGACTGATGGAAGGGGATGTTATTTTGCTTGTTGGCAGGCAGCCATAGCTGTAATTATCAGGGTAAGATGGGCAGCTCGTAAACAATTTATTATATGAGTTTCCATTTCATTTCTTGCTGTGACACATCAAAAGACACAGAGCCTGGGGCGAGCACTGAGTTATTATTATACACAGCAATGAATAAGCTGCATTCTATGTATTCCAGCACCATTTTCCTTGCGCTCTGTCTCAGACAGTGTCCAGGGCCTTGGCAATGGAGCAGCATTCCGGGGGCAATTAGCTAGCTACCTCCAGATCATGGATTTTACTTGCACTAGCTGCGGTTTCTGCCAAGGCAGCAGAGCCCAGCCTGTGCTGGAGGCACTCAGCACCTCTCCGGATTTGGCTCTTTCAGACATCTTGGGGCTGAGCACCAGGAAAACCTTGGGTTAGGTTAGATGGGCTGAGGCCCAGCCTTTCTTTGAAAGAGTAAATCTGCTTTCCGGATTAATTAGCTATTCATTAGGGATGCGGGGTCACTGTGGTGAAGGCCCCCCCTGTGGCGTGGCTGCCATACTGCACATTGCAGCACAGCTGGCTGCCAATGGGGCTCCTGGCCCTGCAGCATAGATCCCAGGAAGAGAAAGCACAGAGTAGGGAGCTCAGGCTTCTGTGGGGCAACTCCAGATCATGTGCACACGTCCCTTTCTGCCTGTTCTCCTGCTCTGCCAGATCCAGGAGGAGTCTAGTGGTGGGTGCCAGGGAATGGGGAAGAGCCCCAAGCCTGGTGGGTGCACGTGTGTATGCAGGCAATAGCGTGTGAGTGTGTGGCAGCATTCAGAGCTTGGGTGGGGGGGTTCAGACCCGAGGCGTGGTGGGTGGGGGGTTCTCAGGATGGGGGAGATAGGTGTGGAGGGAATAGGGTTGCCAGGCATCCGGTTTTCGACTGGAATGCCTGGTCGAAAAGGGACCTTGGCGGCTCTGGTCGGCACCGCCAACTGTGCCGTTAAAAGTCCAGTTGGCGGCGGGGGCCCGGGCCTAGAGCAGGCTCCCTGCCTGCCCTGGCTCCGCGTGGCTACCAGAAGCGGCTGCCAGATCCTGGCGGCCCCTAGACACATGGGCGGCCAGGGAGGATCCAGTGTTTCACTCAGAACATGGCCAATCTGCAGACAGTGGAGCATGTGATACCTGCACCACTGACAGCTATTTTGGGTACAAAAGTCAGTGATTTATGGAAGTTTTGGAAGATGCAGCCACATCCCTTGCAAGGCTGTCTGTGGACAGCTTCTGCTGCTGCCTCTGTGCTCCTTATCAACTCCAACAGGAGCCAGAGGATCTGTTTGATTTACAGATAGGCAAAAATAAACTATTATATAAAAAAACAACATTGTTTTGATGATGTTCTCAGATCATGTGTTGTCCCAAATGGATCATCCCAAGGCTCTCTCCTGCCACCTAGTGGACAGAATCAACCAACATATTCATAGTTTTGTAAAGGCCAGTAATTGTGAAAGCTATGAAGAATAAGGCCCAGATACTCAAATGTACTTAGATGCCTAAACCTCAGATTTAGGTGCCTAAGTCGTAGTGTTAGGCACCACTGAGTCCACAAAACCCCTACTTAGCTGCCACTGAACCCTGCAGGTGTTAAATTCACGTGGCACCTAACTTTTTGCTATAACAGTTCCCTAGCTGCCTAAATTTCTGCACTGGGGTATGCGCACTTCTGCCTAAATTCTACTGCAATCCATGAACCGGGTGATACCTGCGGGAAGATACCTGTGGGGCCTAATCTGGTAGGCATGTTCAGAGACTGACTGCCAGATTGGGCCCCATTCAAAGCCAGCTCTACGCTGCTGACTCTCAAATCTCTTTCCACCATTGACGTTTCTCCTTCCATCCAATTTCCTAGCTTGGCCTGTCTCGCCGATATCGCCTCTTGGATGTCTTGTCATCCGTTAAGCTTACCATGGCCAAAATCAAGCTCCTTCTCTTCCTTCCCAAATCTTCTCCGGTTCCCCGCTTCTCTATCATTGTTGACATCATCCCCATCCTCCACACCACTCAGACCCACAATCTGGTGGTTACTTTTTCCTCCCCCCTTTTCCTTCCCCCATACATGCAAATTCTGCTGCTGCTTGCTCATCACCTCGCCAGGAACATCTTTTTTTTCCCATCCCGACAGCCTCATCTCTCATTCTGGCCTCCTTTGCACCCCAACTCATCTACTGCAACATACTGGCTTCCCTAATTCAGTTTACCAGATATGAACCTCAAGCCTCACCCACTCACCAGCCTGAGTGGACTTCCGCCTCGCTTTCTTGATCTCCTCTTCTGTCTTGTTGCTGAGCTTTATCTCCAACTGCTGGGTTTTCATTTCCAGATCCTTCTGCCTCTCTGTCAGGGCTTTCCGGGCCTGTAATAAACAAAGCACACCAGACATGCCTTACAGGAGAAGAACTTCCAGCTGCCTCATGATGTCTATAGAGTCCGTCTCCTCCCAAATGAAATCATCCCTGTACAGAAAGTAGGTACTCTGTAGTGATATGTATGTTGGGGACATTTTATGTCACCCAATGTGTCCTTTAAAGCCCGGTTCTCATCAGCTTCAGCCAGCCTGTCTCAGCAGTGATTAGGTTTGAGGACAGAAACCTCTCGTTTGCTAACCAAGAAGCCAAGTGAAAAGCTGAGGGAATTGTCCCTCCTGACTTAGATTGAAAACCCTCTATGGCAATGACAATACAAGCTGCACAGGTGATCATGCACCAAGTGGCACAGAGCCCTTGTTAGGACTGCTCTTGATGGCTCTGTGGTCTGCTTAACAAGCCACAGACACTGGGGACCTGGCCAGGCAATTTCATGAGAAGAAATGACAACTTACAAGAACCCGGGTGTTACCCTATAGTCAATGACCCATTAGAGCTCGGTGAAATTTTCTGGATGAATCATTTATTAGCCAAAAATGTAGTTTTAAATCAGCTGGAGCTAGTAGTGAGTACAATAAGTGGGTTTCCCATATTGTAGGTGAGTACTCTAAGCACTGGACTCTTGGGTCCGCGGGGGGTGGGTCTCAATTTCCTCTTGAAGCTGTTCCATTCTGTATAATTAATCAACTATTCATTGCAGCAGGGACTGGAACCCACATGCCCCCCAGATCACTGGGCTTACAGAGTCACTCTTCTGCTCTTTCTCTGGCTCAATACATATTTAATATTAAACAAAGTGCTACAGCTTTAGCAGGAGAGACTGCAAGAGCCCACCCCAGCCCCAGAATATCCGATAGCTCAGTGGATGTGGCCCTTGGCTATAACCCTAGAAACCCAAGTTCTAGTCCCTTGTGCCTGATGTAGAGCAAGACTATGACCTTAAGTCTTGCACTTTAAAAGCAAGAGCCCTAACCACCATCCTATAGGATCTGGAGTGGGGGGTACCTCTTCCTTTAGTGGCTTTGTGAATGGCATCTCCAAATTTCATTTGCTTTTAATAGAAAAAGTGGTTTAAAATACCCAGAATCTAAGTGATACATTCATATGACCCAAAATGTTTGTTTCACTGAGAAAACCAAAGAATTTTCATTTTGGGTTGATCTGAAATGAACTGGGGTTGGGTTTTTGGTTTGACCAACAAACTGATGAACTGATTATTGCTCAGCTTTAGTCCGATGTAGCGAGGACTCGTGTTATAAGGGTTAGCGATATTAAACAGCAGATTCATTTGATAGTCCTAATTGCTGCCCCATTACCCACGGGTCTTATGTTAGGGACACAAAGGCCTCTCCATTTTGTTCCTGTTACCTTCTGGGGTGGCTGGTTGGGGTCCCCATCTCCAGCAGCTGCTAAGGGGGGGGACACTGCCACCCCCAATTTGACAGATGTGCACTCGTGTCATCAGACGAAGGGCTGCTGCCCTCCCCACATAGTGCAGACACACTGGCAAACTGAAATCTGGTGGCCCAGAGTGCAAGGGGTTTCCCCGTGATGAAGGGAAACCCTGCAGAGAAACTGGCGATCTGGGTCAGGTCTGGGGCTTGAAGGGAGATGGGGCACTGCAGGAGGGAGGGAGAAGCCATGGGTCTAATATTTCTGTCTTGGGGCACAAGAACAGGTGAAATTAAAAGGTGGAAAATTCAAAACTGATAAAAGAAAATACTTTTTCACACAATGTGTAATCAGCCTATGGAACTCACTGCCACTGGATGTCACTGAGGCCCAAAGCTTACCAAGATTTAAAGGGGGATTGGACATTTTTTATATTACAAAAATATCCAGAGTTATCATAGTAAATACTAAAAGGAGAGAACGTTGAAAGGAATACAAACCCTCCTGCTACCAGGCTCTGAGTATGAGGGCCTAAGAGGAGACTTTCATGGGGAGTCATTGCCCCACATCTGCTACTGCAGGGTTCTGGCACTTTCCTCTGCAGTGGCAAGTGCTGGCCACTATCAGAGACAGGATCCTAGACTAGATAGTCCTCAGGTCTGATGCAGCCTGGCAATGCCTACATTCCTATGACATGTAAGTACAAGGCTTGGGGGGTGTGCCACAGCTTCTTGCTCATGCCCTCGCCTCTTGCAATGGGTGAGAGTAATTACAGGAAGGGAGGTCCAATGGCTACGGTACTGCACAGAGATGCAGGGGATCTGCTTTCAATTTCTGACTCAGCCACAGGCTTCCTGGGTGACCTTAGGCAAGTTCCTCAATATATTCTGTGCCTCAGTTCCCCTCTGTAAAAGCAGGGATAGCATTTCCCTGCACCACAGCAGTGTTGTGAGGATAAAATTCATGAATGATTGTGAGGCAATGATGAAAGCAGTGCAGATAGTCCAAAAATATGAATCATCTCCAGTCACCAATGGAGCAAGCCAGACACTCAGCCCTTGCAATACTGTCCATTGAAAAAAAAATTGTTGGAGATCTGGGCTCCTTCAATGTGCCAAATGAATTCATATACAAAAAGGCTTTCACAGTGCAATTCAGAATGAGTTTAATCTACAGAGTGCTTTATATCAGCCTGTTTCTGTGTAGCAGAGATAAAATATAAAGCTAGACAGCCAGGGAAGAAAAAGTATATCTTGGACAGCAAGCAAAAAAGGGCTCAGTTCACCTGCTCTAGCAAAGGGCTTTTCAGGGTCTAAGCATTTAAGACCAGGGTTGTTAAAAATCATGATTACAAACTGATTTTTAAATTCAAATCCTTATTTTTAATGTGTTGATCAGATTTTGTTATTTGCATGGTGCTTGTTCTTTACTGTCTTCTTATTCTATAGTCTTCAATTGTGAATGTGGATGTCTTGAACTTTTCTTTAGTTTTCTGATATAGAATTTCAGGGATTTTTTCTGTTTTCTTTTCTTTTTTTTTTAACATTTTAATCTGAAGTTGCAGTAACAAAATTTTAAATTAGTTTTTACATAGTCTTAATCTGATTTAAATTAACAATTTATTTAAAAAATCAAGTGATTTAAATAATGATTTAAATCAATCACCTTGATTTAAATTGCTCCATCATGTTAACAGACCTAATTTGAGAGTATAATTACTGCCACTGTACATGCAGGTGAGGAAACTGTAGGCACACATTATCATGTTACCCACCTGTGAATACATTTACCCTTTCTGTATGCACAGTTGCTGAGGTTACCTAAACACACAAGTTAGACGTGTTTTGCACAAGATGTTGCCTGTTTAGTTAAAAATCAGGCCAACACTCTTTTGCCCCCTGTAACATATTGGAGATTTTGACGTAATTTGGAGGCTGCTATTTGTGTATGTGCTGAGTTACACACCGACATCCCAGCTCTGGAATAATGGCTCTCTACATCGACTTCACAGGCAATTACTGATGGGTTAATTTTGCAGCTTTGAAAGATTTTGAGAGAGGAATATTTGGTGTTGGGCTTAGAGGGCATTGAAGCTGATGGTAATGGAGCCTGGCAGAAGGCTATCTCCTTTGTCTGTGTCATGCTGAGCAGATGCCACCCAAGGGGTCTGTATTTGTTTTCTGATCCACTGATTTAATTATCCCTCTGGATAAATGGTTGGATAATGCTTGCTTCAGACATGAGTCTAAAGAACTTAGCACAGCTGGGAAAAGTGCTTTCCATGTAAGCAGTGCAGACTGACAGTTTTCCATGTGCTGTGTCCCTGGCTGTCTGGGAAGGCAATGTGATGTGCACTCCAGCATATAGTTTGATTCCTGTGAGAATACTCAGCAGGGACTTAACAACCAACACCTGGATCATTCAGCAGTATTGTGTTTCGGCTTCATACAGGACACAAACAGTGCTGGCACCTGGCTTTTCCTGCCCTTTCTCCAGTCAGAGAGTCAGTCAGGAGAAGGGGTGGAGCATGACCTCAGCTGTCTGCTGAAGGTGTGTGTACAACAGGCAGAGGCTTTGCTGGTGACCTTAGGTGACCCAAGTTAGATTGACATCCCTGCCAGGCCCTGTCTGGCTAATGTGACCATGGAGCATGCATCAGGATGGATATTTTCACCTAATGCCATAGCAATATATTAACTTAGAGAGTGAGAAGGGTTGGGTTAGAGACACAATTCAGTGTAACAAAAATATCTCCAGATATGACGCTGCCTCTCTGGTTTCCTATTAATCACCAGAACAGAACAAGACTTTAGGAGTTTAGCACGGGAGACCACACACAGCCTCTGGCAGAGTTCTCTCCTGTGTAGTTAGAAGCTGAAGAGAAGCATTCCATGAGTTGTTTTTTCTTGTCACCCAGATGAGATTATCCCACCAAAGCTCACTCTGCTTCATTCTCTGCTCTTACCTTTTCTACTGCTGTGTAGCGACTAGCCAGCTGCTTCCTTAAATCCGCGATGTGATGGTCATATTTCTTCATGTCTTTCTTAAAGTTCTCTCTGAAGTTGAGCAGTGGTTTCTCCACCTCACTCTGGAGCTGGGAATGACAATAGAAAGGGGCACTGGGAAGTGCAAACAGCCAAGCGCTGATCAGGAGCATAACAGGACTGGATGAAGTTAGCTGTTTCTCCTGAAAGGCTTGCTCACAATGGACGAGAATGCGGTGCTCATACTTAGCCAGAGATGTAATTTTAGCAGCATGATGGCAGAATGGACTAAGGATCTTTCCCTTCCCAAAGAAAGCCTGGAGCAAAGCTGCCTCCACCCCAACCCATCAGTTAAGGGAGCATAGGAGCAATTTCTCAAAGGTCACAAATTCTTAAGCTCTTGCTATCCTCTCTCATTGGAAAGCCTGAAACCTTTAATCTCCAATAGAGATACTTGTAACAGCCACCGTCACAGTGCCTCGTACACAGGTAACGGATTTCCCCAGCCCACGCCCTGGGGGGATAGTGCTGTTATCCCCATTTTCTGATGGGAACTGAGGCCCAGAGAGAGAGAGAGTGACTTACCCCAGGTGATCCAGGGAGCCAGTGGCAGGACCAGGAATTAAACCCAAACCTCCTGTGCCTTAACCACAAGACTGTCCCCGCCCCAGCTCGAAGGTGGCAGGAAGCTGCCTCTCCCAGGTGCAGTGCAGGCATCACAGTCACACCCTGAGTTCTCCAGTGAACTGGGACCACACAGACTGTCAGTGCATCCCTCACTGCAGGTGGCCTTGGACAACAGTGAGTGGGAGGGAGGGAGGAAAGAAGGGAGTGGGACTATGGCTCTGCCTCTTTCCCTTTGCATTGGGAAATCGCATGCTGCTCAACATACTTGGACAGAGGTGGCTCTGTGCTCCACTGAGCAAATGGCCTGCAGTGTTTTCCAGCCCTCTCATCAGGTGTGCAAGAGGAAGGAGGTGTCTTGGTCCCCCCCCACATAACCCCTGCACATGAGCTGGCCACACATTGGCCTGTGAGTTTGAATCCTGCTGCTACAGCCAAGGCTATCGGTACCCTTTGCCTTTTGGTGTCAGTGTCCCTCTCTGTAGGACAGGGTGATAATAATAATACTCCCCCATCTGACTCTTAGGTTCTGTTCCCAGCTCTGGCAGCAGAGTGGGATCTAACGGGTTAGAACAGTGTTGCAGAGAGCATAGGAAAACACACAGCTTTGACAGATTTCCTTAGTGCTCTCAGATGTTTGCCATTTGGACCACCTGTGTATGTTCATATTTTCCTTATTAATATCCCCCAAAGGCTAGACCACTACCAAACTCCTGGAGAATGCTCTGTGTGAACAAAGGAGCTTGCAGATTACCTTAGAGGAAAATTTGAGATGAACCTCTGCCTCATCCGCCAGACTTTTCTTCAGCTGGGCCCAGGCCTCGCCTAAGGTGCTGAAAAACACAATGCATCACTGGTCAGTGCCCTGATCTGTGCCTTGTACCCATGCATGGCCCCCACTGGAATTCATGAGGCAACCTTTCATTTGTGCAGTGTATCAGCCCCTGCATTGTATCATACTCAATATACATGTATGCACCATTCAACTACTACAGCTTAATCAATCAGACTGTTGTCCCCTCCAGCATTAAGACAGTAGTACCAGTTCACACCTCTCACATCTCAGACACAAAGACCTGGACAGCCCCCTCCCAATAGAATTCCCTCACATTAGCTAATGGAAAATGTAAAAACCTTCTATCATCCACAATGTTTAGAATCCCGGCGCCTGCAGACCTCTGAAACCCTATGTACAAAAGTGGTTTAGCTGCGTGTCTGCTTCATAGCCCTCAGTTCCGTCTTAAAGACACCTGCCGCTGAAAACATTGTCAGATCTCCAGGCAAATCACCGAAGTGCACACAGTGTCCCACTTTCCACAGTGAAAATGATGGAAATAAAAACCTTCAATTACAGGCAGTCAAGAGAGCAACAGTAGCAGAGTGCCCAGAAGGCAAAAAGCCAAATAATGGTAGGATCAGATTAATATTTTCAAATTAACACTGAATTTCATCTTTCATTGTAAGCAGGAATTCAATCTATGGATTTGTTTTTGTTTCTGTATGAAGATAAGTGTACCCTCCCCAAATTTACAACACCTAATCTGTGAGTGAAGACTGAATTTCTAGAGGATTTCAAGTAAATTTAGTATTCAGATGATGAGTAAAAATAAACTAAAAATGTTTCCTTTATGGAATGCCTCTAGCTGCTCCAAGTCTGCCTGTAGGAAGGTCCAGCTTTCTGACCCGCATAGCAATACAGGCGGTACACAAGTTTGATAGATCCTGAATTCTGTCTCAGTACAAAGACATTTTTGCATCCATAAGTGAGACATGGACTTCATGCTGGAGGTGGCAAGCTCTGTTCACTGAAGAACATCCAGTTTGTTGCAGCCGTTTGAACTCTGTGTGCAGCTAGGTAGATGAACACATCAATGCTCTCCACAGAATCCAACCCCACCTGCACAGAACCTTAGACTTCCCCAGAAACACACACCACACACTGAGTCTGCACACAGATGGCAGTGCTGAATTGGAGAAGCTGCTGCTCAGCTTGTAATCAAGGTGTGGTGTTACACAGTGAAGGGGATTAATGTGTGGTGGGTAAAGGTGTTTCTTGCACTGGAAGAAGAAGGAAGCTCTCTGTGAAGCTGTGGAATCTCTCGCTGCCAGTAGAAAGGTGCTGGGTCATGTTAGGACACAGATAAGAGATGTCCCATAACTTGGCTTTCTTTTGTTTGAAGTATTTGCCTGGAGGGCTGTTCCGCTTACCTAACTTTAAACTAGGGCTGTCAAGCGATTAAAAAAATTAATCACGATTAATCACACAATTTAAAAGAATAATCGTGATTAATCACACGATTTATCGCACTGTTAAACAATAACAGAATACCATTTATTTAAACAGTTTTGGATATTTTCTACATTTTCAAATATATTGATTTCACTTACATCACAGAGTACAAAGTGTACAGTGCTCACTTTATATTTATTTTTTATTACAAATATTTCCACTGTAAAAAAGAAAAGTACTGTAACAGTATTTTCAATTCACCTAATACAAGTATTGTAGTGTAATCTCTTTATCATGAAAGTTGAACTTACATATATAGAATTATGTACAAAAAAATAACTGCATTCAAAAATAAAACAATGTAAAACTTTAGAGTCTACAAGTCCACCCAGTCCTACTTCTTATTCAGCCAATCGCGCAAACAAGTTTGTTTACATTTGCAGGGCATAATGCTGCCCACAATCATGTGCCTATCACCTGAAAGTAAGAACAGGCGTTCTCATGGTGCTGTTGTAGGCGGCGTTGCAAGATATTTATGTGCCAGATGTGCTAAAGATTCATATGTCCCTTCATGCTTCAACCACCATTCCAGGGGACCTGCGTCCATCCTGATAATGAGTTTTGCTCGATAACCATCCAAAGCAGTGCGGACTGACACATGTTCATTCTCATTAGCCGAGTCAGATGCCACCTGCAGAAGGTTGATTTTCATCTTTGGTGGTTTGGGTTCTGTAGTTTCCGCATCTGACTTATAGACTCATAGACTCATAGACTCATAGACTC